GTAAACACGGTCTCCTTCAAGTACTTGCTGTCTGACGGACCGATGTCATGCCATCATTTAAAATCTGTGGATACAGCGGCGTGCTTACTTCCATCTAAATTATCCGCCCATTGGCTTTCTCGGCATAGCAAGCACGCCTAAAAGCAAACGGCATAGCAAACTTATAACTCCTACAGCTTGTCGGGTGCTTACTGTGTGCATTTTTGACCCGACAAGAAACCAACAAGAAACCTGGTGGATACGTGTACACACATGTGTATAGATATGTGAGCGCGATACGAGCGGGTACCGATAAATAAGACAATGATTGCCAAAGCTACTACAATTCGGACGTACCGACGGGCAGCACCTGTGGAAACACGCACGTACACGTAGAAGGTACACACACACACACACACACACACAAACATGGTGGAATTCCTGCGACTCGTGGGTATCGATGGGGGGCACCTGTGACAACACATCCGCCGTCCTGGCTGAGAATGAAGGATAACCCATTGAGCGTGTCAGGAGGTTGACAGGCTTGACAGTGGTAAAAGTCAGTGCACAGCTCGCAGTGTTGGTTGCAGGCTGCTCGGTGATACACATTGATCGCGACACGCATAGACCGGGAGCGATGCGGTGTGTACGAATCAATTCTTTGTCTTACTTCCACATCGCCGATTCCAAGGCTGACTATAGGTATAGGTGGGGCAGTCGGGTCGACAGATCCCTCGCCAGAATAGCAGCCCTTCTTTGCATCCATTTCTCGCAACCCGAACATCGAGATGACGCGACTGCTTTTTGTCAGCACTCGTTATCTGAAGAATACTCCCCCCACAGCATTTGACATTGAGCATCTGAGTTGGTACCTCGAATCGTATGATACGAGCTCTGTACGTGTCGATGGGAGCCAGACACGTGTGCTCTGTGAAGAGAACAAAACAATTGAATGCATGGACGAAGCCTTGGTTTCTTTCTACGCAAGTGATCAACGGCGTCGGTGCTCGTCACAGCGGTCGTGATTTCCAGTGGAGACACATATTTGTCTACCAGAACGCAAGCCTTTTGAACAACAAACAACGACCCACCCTTTGGCGACTGACCTGGATGGGCTTCCAGCTGTTTGGTGTCCGGACTGTATCCTGGCTGCCATTTGTCTTGATTAGTCATGATGGAACAACGGACCTGGAACGTTGTGATACAAAATGCAGATATGTGCCTCCATCCATATCTCATTCCTACTTTCTGATCGATATCATCCTTGACGACGGTGAGTTTCGCCATGTCACTTAAAGGATCCTGGAGGAAGGCCGCAGGCCATTATCAACGGAAGCTCCTGCATTTATGAGTGGACCTGAATCGCCTGGATCGCCTCCTGCAATTCCCCTTTGTGGTATGGTCGTGTGAGCCGCCCGCTCTCGATTGTCACTGACCGAAGCTCTAGCGAATCGCCCACTGCATCCCGATCATTGAATGATCATTCATCATCATTTGCCCATCGCTTTTGTCAGGTTACTTTTGCGTCGCACGATCAGCGTGTATCGAATATCATTTCCCGTATCATCTGATAAGACTATCTTGAAAATAGTCTGTTCTCCTTTGTGTAGCTGTCCGGCAAGGTCATCACGGTCAAGAACCTGGAGGAAAGAAAATGACGTCAAAGGCTTTTCGTCTTTGGCTCCAGAAAGCCTTTCCTCACATCGTATCCATCTCGCGCTAATTGCGATATGACTGCAGGCGGTCTGGTTTCCACGGTCAGATTGAACACCTCGTAACGGCTATCAAGGCTGCATCTGGCACAGAAGTGTGCAGGAATCAGGTAGAAAACGAGAAAGGCCGGCCGTTCCTCACGTGAAATCTTGCGAGAACGAGGACTGAAAGTGACACATGTCCCGGCCGCCAACACTGATGCGCACAACGCAGGTTCTGATCCTTTTTGTTGTTCCAGGACGCTTCGTTGTTAGCCTCACAAGACGGCAACGATGAGCGCCAAAACTGACGCCATTCCTCAGTCAGGAGCACACTGCTGTATGCGTTGACGTGGGCTGGCCGAGGCACCGCAGGTCGCTCTTACCACACTTGGGAGTTCATGGATCGTGGGGGCAAGCTCGCCGATTGCTTGACGGCGAGGTGCGTAGTAATGGGGGACTGAGGTGTGGTCACGTGCATTCATTTGCAACGTGGAATGTCACTGTGTTCGCATTAAGTCTGTATTACAAACGGGATACAATCCCCGTCCAAGGCTCCTTCCTGGATTTGCAATGTTTAGATCCGCAGCAGCGGTTTCAGGCAGCACCCTAGGCGGCCTGACGGCCAAGTCCCCTGTTGGTCAACATGAATACACGCACCCTAACACGCAACACGCAGCACGCAGAGGGCAGACAGCAAACAGGAGGATATGCAATGCGCTGCGAACGACAATGTTCAGATTAACTCCCTGTTTTTCGCGAATTAAAGAAAATTACTCCTTCAATGTCTTGACAACATTGCTTCCGAAGACAGCCAAAGCCGCAGCAGAAGTAGCGGCTACTGAGATGCCTGGTTGGTTGGTTGGTTGCTTGATTGTGTTTAACGAGACTCGTGTCTGTAACCCCGGAGGGATCCTGTCTCACGCACTAAACTGGCACCATGTACATGCAGAGCATGCACGCGGCCTGTCTACCCCTCCTACACTGGCACCGGCGGACAGACAGATTGCAACAGAGAGCACTGGCTGCCTTGTAGAACGATGGGGGGCTGTGGGGGGGCGACGGCCCTTGGGTTTTCGCCCGCGGAAAATGGGTATTCTTGGTTCCGAGACACAGGAAAAATCGGGGAAAATCGTTGATTATTCATTGGTAGATCGATTGATTGAGTGATTGCTATCTCTTTGTTATTGAGGCGGTGATTTCTCGGCTGCTTCTCCTCCTTTTCGGAGAGGGGAGCTTGTGTCGGACTACACTCAGCCACCTCCAGCGACCCTCATCCCGCGAGACGGCAGCGCGCTCCCCTGCCGCGCATGCAACGCGAATGGGAAGTCTGCGCTGTCCACATGCAGCCGAGCATGTGACTGCCGGAAAAAGAAGCGCCTCTGCACTGACTGTGTCAACTGCAAGCGCGGCACGTGCACGAAGCTGTCTGCGTGGGGGAGGGAGGGGGATGTACCTAAGAATCTGTTTGAGTTTTTCTGATGGAGAAACAACTTCTCTAGCAGAAAAGGTTGAACTCATGAAATGCGCCGTGCGTGTGTGTGTGTAAGCATGAAGGCAAATGGACTGTGCGGTCAATACAAACGAGTGTCCTCCACTTCGATGTGTGAAGCACATTGGTTTGCGAGAGAAGACAGGAAGCTGTACGTGATTCAAATTGTGTGTTCACAGATATGCAGTTGTTCTCACACAGGCGTCTGGACATAAGTTTCCATGCATCGACCAAGACACATACGCGCGCACATACCACGGACAGAAGGGAGGCAAGCAGGCAGAAGTGTGCAGCATCCATCCATCCATCCATCCATCCATCCACCACACACAGACGGCCACGCCCACCACAGACAAATGAGGTGTGAAGGCAGGGAGGGAGGGAGAGGGGGATGGAGGGAGAAGAGGCAGGCAAACCAGATTCGTAGTTTTCTCCTTCCTTTTTTGCGGCTTTTAAATGTGTCCCTTGTTTGGCGGGTTTTTCTCCTCAATTTTTTATTTTTTGCGTTGTTTTAAATATTTTTCTGCGGTTTCCCGGTTTCTAAATATTGTTTTGACACCTTTGAGACGTTTTAAAAAATGTGCGATCAGGGGAGGAGGCTTGCACGGGGTGGTGTGAGATCCGAATGAAATGATAGATACAGACAGTCCAAAAGCCGAGTGTCACGGACACACAGACGAGTCTTACGGTTAATGCAGATTGTCTCTCGACAAGAACAACTGATGATCCACACCTGGAAACCAGCCAGGGCGTCTCAGGGAAGTCTGCAGAGCCATCCTGGATACTCACGTGGCCTTCAAATGCCTCATTCTGTGCACGTGTCTCCCTATGCGTGTAGTAGAACAAGAACGAACAAACTTTTCAATCAATGCTGATTTTGTATCTTGTGCAACAAAACTTTCGATTCATTCTCATGATTCCCGTGATTGTGAACCATGATTTGATGTCATGTGAGCGTCTTTTCATGTCTCATCTAGAACAAGCCATTGATTCACTCTCTCGCGATTTGGGGCTTCCTAATTGTTTGATGCAGCTTGAATGTGGATTGCGCAATTCAACCAAGTCGAACAGGTGAGCACTGCTTTGATGCGAAGGTCCTCCAGTCGATCCACGCTTCGAGTGTCTCTCCTTCCCGACCATTCAAGACCATGCATCCGTCAACGTAGTGTCTAATATGTATTCATACATTTCACTTCTGTACATTTTATCAACACATGTCATGCGCACAGACGTTTAGCCAGCGCTCGTCAACGTACAATCTATGAACAGCCAGGGTAGACAGTACGCATGGATTGTAGATGGGTGTGACATACGTTAACTCATAGCGCAACGGCAGGCGGAGTCTGTCGCTCTCTCATGAAACGAACTGCGTCAACATCGACCAACCCTCAATCATGCGACAAACATGCCAGCACCATCCTCAGCGCCCGCCTGTCGTATCTCCCAGCGGCGCCGCCCACCACGCACACACATACTCGCACTCCGCGCCAACGCAACAGACAGACGAGCACGAACCCACCCCATTGTAGATGGGTAGATTTGACGGCGTGTGATGTTGTTTTGTTTGTTGTGTGTGGGACTTCTCATTTATGATATTATCGGCCCTCGACATCGTGAAGTGTCCGTATTTCGGCATGGATCGTTCGGGATATCTTAACAAAGGATTTGTCGTGTAAGTGACACATCGAAGCGTTCCATCATTGCTTCCCTACTCTAAGTTCTTATCGGCACGTCAGTCGACACATACACTATGTCTCGTGCGGGTGGAGTGACCCAAATCTTGGTTCGCCAGCTTGCATAAGACAAATGCGGATCGTCCACTATGCAAGGAATGACGCGCGGAGATGCTTCTTGTATACCTGATCGCAGCAGTCGAAGACCGTAATTTGACGAACAGTCGAATGTCTTTCTAGAAACCTCGTGAATGGCGCGGTGCTTGGCTTTGTTTCGATACTTGTACTTGGAGTACTCGTCATCATCATGCTCGTCATCGTCATCCCCGCCCTTGCGGTGTCGATACTTCTTGTACTTGGAATACTCGTCGTCGTCATCATCATGCTCGTCATCGTCATCCCCGCCCTTGCGGTGTCGATACTTCTTGTACTTGGAATACTCGTCGTCGTCATCATCATGCTCGTCATAGTCATCCCCGCCCTTGCGGTGTCGATACTTCTTGTACTTGGAATACTCGTCGTCATCATCATGCTCGTCATAGTCATCCCCGCCCCTGCGGTGTCGATACTTCTTGTACTTGGGATACGGGTCCATGTACGCCTGCATGCCTGGTTCAGGCTCCATGGTCGGGCGAGATGGACCGAGAACGAACTGGCTAAGTGAAGAAGTTTTGCCATCATTTGCTCCTAGCTGATCGCCATCTGTCGCGGAGGTGAGCCCACTCTTTCGCGAGGAAATATCCAGGGCATTTGAAGTCAGCAGGGACACACCTGCGCCGTAGGAACGGGATGGGCGTGGGCGGCTGGTGTTGTTTGGTCGGGAGACAACGACTGCCGCCGACGAGAAGCCTAGTATGAGGACGAGGCCGAGGAGGACCAGTGATCTGGGCACGCCGGGATGCATTGGCCTGCCGCGCCGACAACAACAAAAGGACAACAGGAACACACACGCACATAGACAGCACAAGAGGGAGAAACGGGGGGAGATGTGGCTAGACCGTAGAAGGGACGGATGGGCGGACCTGGCGTGGAGTGAAGGTGCGGCGGATGGAGCCCCGCGAAGATCTTAGTAAGCCTTTGGGTGAAAAAAGGAAGCCGAAAGCTTTGCTGAAAGGCCGCAACGCCCTCGTAAATTGGGGGGGTGCAGTTAAACCTTTCTGATTGTTCGCTTGAACACGTCAAGACGTCACTTGCCGTCACGTTGCGTGTGCTCCAGCAGATCTCGAGGTGGCCGTTCCGATCTCAAGCACGCTCCCAACCATCCTTCACGAGGCAGTCAGAGTCAGCACGTCACTGAGTAAAGCCAATGGGCGCGGTGAGCGCTTCTACGGAAGAGAATCTCTCCCAACCAACCTCACTGACTCGCCTTGCTTCAGTGTGTCAAGCTACATCCCTTAGCGAACAGAGAAAAAACGGATAGTAACGAACCCCGATCGGACGCTTCTTGCCCACTGGGCGAGCCACAGCAAAAACTTCTGGCCCAGTTGCATTTTTATCCGATCTCCGTGAGCACCGCAAACGGGACGCACCGGGACAAGGCAAACGGGACGAAAAAAAAGACACCAAAAAACTCCCCAGGGAAGGGTCAATAGATGCGTCGGCGAGTTCATTGCATGAGGACATCGCCCGAGACATGACTGATTTGTCCATCCATACGGCAGCAGACGACCACCGAC